ATAAAATTACATATACATCTGCCTTAATACTACCTTGGGCTTAAGGAGAGACATCACAACAATTTGAAAATTTCTGTGGCTGTGTCTAAAATTGCTGTTTGTTTTTCATTGAGAGCAGTGAAACTCCTGCATATTAGAATGATGAGAGAAAATCCTGGGAACTTTCCTTAACAGGGACATGCTTATATAAAGAAAGATCCTTTAAAAAAATCATTCTGGCCGGGCGTGGTGGCTCACGCCTGTAATCCCAGCACTTTGGGAGGCCGAGGCAGGTGGATCACGAGGTCAAGAGCTCGAGACCATCCTGGTCAACATGGTGAAACCCCATCTCTACTAAAAATACAAAAATTAGCTGGGCATGGTGGCGCGTGCCTGTAATCCCAGCTACTCAGGAGGCTGAGGCAGGAGAATTGCCTGAACCCAGGAGGCGGAGGTTGCGGTGAGCCGAGATCGCGCCATTGCACTCCAGCCTGTGTAACAAGAGCGAAACTCCGTCTCAAAAAAAAAAAAAAAATCGTTCTTCTAGTTTTTCTTTCTTTTGAGACAAGAGTCTCACTCTGTTGCCCAGGTTGGCGTGCAATGGTGCTGTCATGGCTCACTGCAAGCTCTGCCTCCCAGTCGAAGTGATTCTCCTGCCTCAGCCTTCCAAGTAGCTGGGATTGCAGGCATGCACCGCCACGCCCAGCTAATTTTTGTATTTTTAGTAGAGATGGGGTTTCACCATGTTTACCAGGTTGGTCTCAAACTCCTGACCTCAGGTGATCCACCCACCTCTGTCTCTCAAAGTGCTGGGATTACAGGTGTAAGCCACCACATCTGGCCTAGTTCGTTTTTATAGTGAGCTGGAAGGGATGCATGATGTTTGATGTTAGGGTAGCTGCCTGAGCACAAAGAGGAATCACATGTGAGGACAGCAGCACAGTAAAATAGGCTCCTGCAACTGCTATAAAATCTTTGGAAATACTGTCTGAGCTATTGTTTAACAGAAAAGTAAATGTTTCTTGTTTAAGCTACTGTTATTTTGGATTTATTGGTTATCTACAGCTAAACCTGTCTACCTTTTAGATTATCTGCACCTCTTTGGATTTTGCTGAGAGAAGGTAGAAAGCAGTGCTAACTCCCCTCTCCAGAAGCTATGTTTAATTCCTCAGTCTCTGGAAATTTATTTGTTCTATTCCACAATAGCCTGAGTATGGTCTTTCTATTAGTGGTATTGCTGTTATTTTTACTCCTTCATAACTCAACTGCAGTTCTTCTGGAAACAGAATTAGACAGATCCTGTCTGAAAGAGTAACAGAGTGAATAGCATTTTATAATTTGCTGATAAAGCTTTTCTCTTAGCTTACAAAATAAGTCTCAAGAGTACTGGGTAAAGTCTGCTATAGTTCAACAGAGTACTTTTTACAAGGCTTATACATATTTGACATTATTAATTTATAAAGCATCCACCTTGCTATTAATTGATAAAAGTGACAATTACATGGTAGTTACAATTCCTGAGTAAGCAAAATAATGCTCAATTCAGTTGTGCAATACATGGAGATGTGATCATGATTTAACACTTAAACAAATTATCTGCTCAGAAAATATATTCAGTTGAATAGATAGGAGACTCTAAAACTGACTGAGATTTGAATTGTTCTGAAAATATATACTGTGCCCTTTTAACTATATTTTATAATGATGATTAGCTTTATATTCTTATTTTCATGATTCTCTTCATTAAACCAGCCTTTATGAATTCAGTCTGAAAAGGCAGATCAATGTGAAAGAGGAAATGCTTATTTAATATCATTACTGATATGATTTGGCTCTGTCACCACCCAAATCTCATCATGAATTGTAGTTACCATAATCCCCACATGTCCTGGGAGGGACCTTGTGGGAGGTAATTGAATCATGGGGGCAGTTATGCTCATGCTGTTCTGGTGATAATAAGTAAGTTGTCATAAGATCTGATGGTTTTATAAGGGCTCCCCCTACCCCTTTATAGTGTATTACTCTGCACTTCTCTTTGCCGCTGCCATGTGAAAAAGGATGCATTTGCTTTCCCTTCCACCATGATTTTAAGTTTCCCGATGCCTCCACAGCCATATAGAACTGCGAGTCAATTAAACCTCTTTCCTTTATAAATTACCCAGTCTCTGGTATTTCTTCATACCATTTTGAGAACAGACTAATACAATAACCAAATATTTTTAAAAGAGTATGTTATGTTAATGTTAACATCTTAATATAATGTATTAAATATATACATTTTAATAAGAAAATATTTGTCAAATAAGTGCTGATATACCTAAAAATTGGGAATTTATCCATTTTTCTTCTTATAAAAACCATCTACATCTTTACACCACAATCTTGCAGAATTTAAAATATAGGTATGATTATATCTATTTAATGTAAGTATGATTTGTGTGTGTTTATTTTAATATTCTATTTTAAAAGGAACTTAATAAAGGAAGGAAAAAACATTAAAATGATAGATTATAAAATCATGGAAGGCATACAGTTTTAGCTATGAGTTGTAGCTGAGGCTTGAACTTGTAGGTATAAACAGGCTATTAATCTCTTTGTAATAATATATGAGAAAGAATAAATATGAATCTTATAGGATACAGTATAGTTTGGTAAACATGTTTGGTCAGTCAATTAGCTGCTAAATCAGAAATTCTGATTTGGTTTGCTACACTGATAACAATAAACACAAATAACAAGTAATTCATATTCTATATTATTTTGTCCACAAGGAGACTTTTGAATATTCCTTTAGGTAATATTCACAGAGAGTCACAGCTATTTGGCATTCTATTTATCCCGAGGGACATATGCTTGCTGGCACATTGAGGACCACTGCTTACTTTATATATAATTGATAAAATTATTCTATATTTTTCATCAGCTCTTTATTTTGTGAAAATACAGGGAGAAAGTAAACATATATAAACTATATTTTTAAGCAATGCGAATTTTCATATAATAGTGTGGCAATTCTGTGAAAGAAGATTTAGGAAGAAACTATAAACTTTGGCCTTGCTCATTTACTTAGTTATAATCATTTAAATGGACCCAGAACTACAGTTTAGGATAAAAATGTAAAAATGACATCCAACACGCTGCAACAGAAATAAGTCTGGTCAGTGTGAAGATTCTGTACAAAAAATAGAACTTTATTTGGAGAACAAGACGAGTAATTACAGGAGCTGATACGTAGCAAAATTATTCTAATGGCATTCACTGGTTCTCTGTTCAACTAGGGACTAGCAATGTTTTATAATATTAATTTGTTTTACATTTACAACATTTATAGAATATTTCATTTTCTTATAGAAAAATTAGCCTGTATTGTATGGGAAAAATAAAAGAAAAATCAAGATAAATACAATTATGTATATCATCTCTGTAATCAATTTGGGATGATTTTTTCATATACATACATGTATAGTTAAATGATGATGGAATTTCATCCTCTTTTGTCATACTGCACTGTTATATTACTAAATATATATTTAAATAATCATTTGATGTCTATCAATAAGGGTTCTGGCTGACACTTTGGGCAAGAAATAAAATCCCATACCCAGAATAGATACTTATACCTGAGGAAATAAGCAACTAGTCTCCCAAGGTAGAAGGATCTCCACAAAGGACTTAGTATCGGTTTCTCTTGCTGGCATTCAGAGGCAGCAATAGCTAGATTAGTCTTGGTAAGTGGGAAGACCATGTGTCGAACCTGTGCTACCCTCCATTCATGTGCCTATCATCCCAGTTCTGGGGTGGCCCATGTTGAAGTTTAGTTAAAATCAACCAGACAAGTCAGTTTGTCTGTTTGGTTCTTTAGTGGTTCTTCAGTGGAAGATGCTTTCTGGAAGGCATTAACATATGATTCAAATATATTCTCAATTAGTTACTACTCTTATATCCATCCACATTCCTTATTCCAGACTTTCTTATCTCCCATGATTCAAACTTTCTATTTCTACAACCCTAATTAGCTCACCAGACCATTTTCACTACCCATGAATACATGTACAGTCAGCCCTTCATATCAATGGGTTCTATATATATAAAACACACACACACACGTGTGTGTGTGTGTGTATATATATGTGTGTGTATATATATATATATATATATTTTTTTTTTTTTTTTGAGATGGAGTTTCCCTCTTGTTGACCAGGCTGGAGTACAATGGCACAATCTCAGCTCACTGCAACCTCTGCCTCCTGGGTTTAAGCAATTCTTCTGCCTCAGCCTCCCAAGTATCTGGGATTACAGTCATGTACCACCATGCACAGCTAATTTTGTATTTTTAATAGAGACAGGGTTTCACCATGTTGATAAGGCTAGCCTTGAACTCCTGACCTCAGATGATCCACCCACTTCGACCTCCCAAACTGCTGGGATTACAGGCGTGAGTCACTGTGCTCAGTTGAAAATATTTTTAAAGAAAGGATGATGTGTCTGTATCAAACACGTATAGAAATTTTTCTTTTCATTATTCCCTAAACAATATAGTATAACATAGTATGAAAACATAGTATTTTTATTGTATTGTGTATTATAACTAATCTAGAGATGATTAAAGTATATGGGACAATGTGCATGGGTTAATGTAAATACTACGCTTTTTATATAAGGGATTTGAATATCTAGTGATTTTGGTATCTGTTGTGGGGGGTGGGTAGGGAGGGATCTTGAAACAAATCTCCCATGGATACTGGCCACTTCTTATTTTAAATAAAGTAGATGACCTAGTGTATTGCTCTCAGCTCCACCCATTAGGAAATATTTTCCCTCCCCACTTTTTCAAGGACATTCCAGACAGTGCCTACAATACAGTCATTATTCCTTTCCAGAACTGTCCCATATTCTGAATTGACATCAGCAGCCCAAGCTTAGTTTTTTTCTACATCTCTTAGCTGGTCATTCAATAACTCGTATAAAGCAATAGATGTGAGCTGAGAGAAGACCAAGGTTACAATGGTGGTGGGTGACATACGCATCAGAGCTACTTGCGCAATTATTTTCTGGGGATCAATATGAGAATAGTGTGAGCTCAGCTCAAAAGATAAAGTGTTTTTTGTTTTTTTGCCTTTCTCAAAAATGGCAGATTAGAGGCTTTATTTGCACACTTCACATACTTGGAAATAGCAAAATAATGTGTAGAGATTCACACCGTGAACATTTATCCAAGAAGGAGCACAGGAGCTTAACATAAAAATAAAAAATAAAAAAATAAAAAAAGAGTACTTTAAAGAGTACAGTGGGCAGCAGCCTGCTCTGCAGGTTCAGCAGAAACTTGTGAGTGAGTCCCCACTGTATGAGAGGAGGAGAGACTGTCTCTGTGATATACATTCCCACTGAGGAGTCAGGCAATCCAGGCCATGGGGGAGCTCCTTGAGCTCACCAAGTTTTGCAGCTGACATGGGAAGCAGAGGGGAGACCCAGAGGTGTATCAGCAGAAAAATGTGTTTCATGCCAGATTCAGGTGCCATAGACAGAAGGCAGCCATTTCAGATTCTAACTCATAGGGGTCTGTGATAAAATCTGACAATCAGCATAGGCAGCAGTTATTGGCTGGGTAGGTCTCTGGACTGAGATTTGTGACTTAGTCTTGAATGGAGGAGGAACTCACACAGCCAGAACTGAGAGGTGAGAGTGACGTGCAAACAGAACTGGGAGTGATGTGGCCTTTAAGCCACAGTGTTTTTCCAGGCCAGGAGTCTCCGGCCTGGGGCAGTTTCCTGAACTGAGAACAGTCTGCTTGGGAATTGGCTGATTGTTTAAGCTTATTGCAAGCAGCAGGCTACAGTAGGGAGCTCTGCCAGGCGAAAAGCAGGGAAGTAAGGCAGATCCCACTACGACCTGCTAAGCTGCCAAACTGCCTCTCATTCCCTGTGCTGGCCCTTTGGCACAGCAGAGATTTCTCCACTCCTCCCTGGAGTGATGTTCCAGAGGCCTTCTGTTCTCTCTTGGAGCTGGTGCTTGCACCTGGAGTTGGGGAGCCCAGGCACAGACTTGTATGGCCAAGCCCCACCCAGCTTTGCCCCCCTCCACTCACCTCAGAGGCAAAGCAGAGTACCAGGACCCCTGGGAGTTCCTGGCCCAGCACATCTCTTGGGACATTAGAGTACTTCTTCTAATTAGCAAAGGTTAAACATAGGCTTTGCTGCCACCAACACAGCTGGCTGTCACCTGCAAGAGCCACCCATAGGAAATTACAATATCTGCTGATGCAATTGCATAGCATTTGGGAGGGAGACAAGCTTTGCACAGCCTCTGGTCTCACCATTTCTGACACCACTCCAGCTATTCAGACAGCCCTGAGCCCACTCACCCAACCAGTATATTACTACTATAACTTGTATTTGAGAAAGCCACCACACTAAGGCTATTTATAACCAACAAAATCATAAGGAGTTTACGTCAAGCCCTACCGCTTCCACCAGGGCTGGTAATTGTGCCTGCCATTGGGAGACCTAAGGGCAGGCCTGCCCGGTCCAACCCCACCAAACTTTACCCTTTCTCTGGAACTGAGATTGGATGCCAGGCCACTAAGCATTTATATGATGAGCCCACTGTCTGAGGCACCAGACAGCTTTTCCTGGTAACTAAGATAGAACACAAATTCTGCGACCACTGCAGCCAGCTTTTACCTGCATTTGCAACCTTCTGCCTGAAGGTTGAACTACACAACTCTGTCCAAAATCTGCCCACACAAGTGCACAGCACTTGGGAACAAGATGTCTTAAGATCACCGCCATCCCAGCTGTACAGGAGACTGTGAGCCTGCTCAAATGCCCAGTACATCACTACTACAACCAACATTTGAGAAAGTCACCACACTAAGGCTATGTATAACTAAGGAATTCATAAAGAGCTTTTGTTACTGCTAGGGCCCAGAAGCAAAGCCAAATGACCCTATCTACACATTATATTCATATCCTGAAGGCAACATTTTAAAAAGGCTAATCTAAATGAAAGTAAATTCAAAAATAAGAAGTGCAGTTTCTCCAGATGAGAAGGAACCAACATAACAATTTTGGAAGTATGAAAAAAACAGTGTGTTGCAACATCCCCAAAGGATTTTACTAACCCTCCAGCAATAGATGCTAACAAAAATGAGGCATTTGAAATATCACATAAAGAATTCAAAATATGACTCTTAAAGAAACTCAGTGAGATTCACAAAAAAGTTGAAAGCCAATACAAAGAAATCAGAAAATCAATCGAGGATATGATAGATACCAAAGAGATAGTTATTTAAAAAATAAACAGAACTTCTGGAAATATAAAATGCATTGAATGAATTACAAAATACAATTGAAAACTTCAGAAATAGACTGGAGCAAGCAGAGAAAGGAATCTCAGAACCTGAAGGCATGTCTTTTGAATTAACCTAGTCAGACGAAAGCAAACAAAAATAATTTTTTAAAATGAGCTAAGCCTTTAAAAAGCCTGGGACTACATAAACCATCCAAACCTATAAATAATAGGTATTCCCAAGGGAAAAGATAAAATGTTTGAAAAATCTATGATAGGAAATAACTTAGGAAAAATTCAGTAGTCTAGCAAGAGATCAAGACATCCAAGTACAAGAGGCTCAAAGAACTCCAAGAAAATATATTGCAAGAAGGACCTCATCTTGGCTATTTGGTCTCTCTTTTGATCCCATATTAATTTTAAAATAGTATTTTAAAATAATTCTGTGAAGAATGTCAGTGGTGGTTTAATGGGAATAGCATTGAATCTATGAATTACTTTGGGCAGTGTGGCCATTTTAATAATATTGATTCTTCCTATCCATGAACATGGAATGTTTTTCCATTTGTTTGTGTCATCTCTGATTTCTTTGAGCAGTAGTTTTCAGTTAGCCTTGTAGAGACTTTTCACTTCCTTTGTTAGCTGTATTCCTAGGTATTTTATTCATTTTGTGACAGTTGTTAATGGGAATTCATTTGCGATTTGGCTCTTGGCTTGACTGTTGTTGGTGTATAGGAACGCTAGCTTGGCTTGGCCATTGTTGACATATAGGAATGCTAGCAGTTATTGCACATTGATTTTGTATCCTGAGACTTTGCTGAAGTTGCCCATCAGCTTAAGAAGCTTTTGGGCTGGGATGACGGAGTTTTCTAGATATAAGATCATGTCATCTGAAAACAAGAATAGTTTGATTTCCTCTCTTCCTGTTTGAATCTCTTTTACTTCTTTCTCTTGCCTGATTGCCCTGGCCAGAACTTCCAATACTATTTTGAATAGGAGTGATGAGAGAGGGCATCATGCTGGTTTTCAAGGGAATGCTTCCAGCTTTTGCCCATTAAGTATGATATCGGCTGTGGGCTTGTCATAGATGGTCTTATTATTTTGAGGTATGTTCCTTCGATATCTAGTTTATTGAGAGTTTTTAACTTGAAGAGGTGTTGAATTTTATTGAAAGCCTTTTCTGTGTCTATTGAGATATTCACGGGGCCTCTGTTTTTAGTTCTGTTTATGTGATAAATAACATTTATTGATTTGTGTATGTTGAAACAAACTTGCATTCTCAGGATGAAGCCTACTTAATCATAATGGATAAGCTTTTTGATGTGCTGCTGGATTTGCTTTGCCAGTATTTTGCTGAAGTTTTTGTATGGACGTTTATCAAGGATATTGGCCTGAAGTTTTCTTTTGTTGTTGTTTTTGTGTCTCTGCCAGGTTTTGGCATCAGGATGATGCTGGCCTCATAGAATGAGTTAGGAAGGAGTTGCTCCTTTTCCATTTTTGGAATACTTTCAGTAGAAATAGTACCAGCTTTTCTTTGTGTATCTGGTAGAATTCAGCTGTAAATTCCTCTAGTCCTTGGCTTTTTTTGGTTGGTAGGCTATTTATTACTAACTCAATTTCAGAACTCATTATTGATCCATTCAGGGATTCAGTTAAGCTGGAGGCATGATGTTACCCAACTTCAAACTATGCTACAGTAACCAAAACAACATGGTACTGGTACACAAGCAGACACATAGACCAATGAAACAAAATAGAGAACCCAGAAATAAGACTGCACACCTACAACAATCTGATCTTTGACAAACCTGACAAAAGCAAGCAATGGAGAAAGGATTCCCTACTTAACACGTGGTGCTGGAATAACTGGCTAACCATATGGAGAATATTGAAACTGGACTCTTCATTCCATCATATACAAAAATCAACTCAAGATGGATTAAAGACTTAAATATAAAACCCACAACTATAAAAACCCTGGAAGACCACCATTCAATACTAATACCATTCAAGACATAGGCATGGGCAAATATTTCATGTTGAATGCCAAAAGCAATTGCAACAAAAGCAAAATTACAAATGGGATTTAATTAAAATAAAGAATTTCTGCATAGCAAAAGAAACTATCAACAAAGTAAACAGACAACCTACAAAATGGGAAAAAATTTTTGCAAACTATGTATCTGAAAAAGGTCTAATTTCCAGTATCTATAAGGAGCCTAATTAAATTTACAGGAAAAAACAATCCCATTAAAAAGTTTAAAGTAAAAGGGCAAACGACATGAACAGATACTTTTCAAAAGAAGGCATACATGTGGCCAACAATCATATGAAAAGAAGCTCAACACCACTGATCATTAGAGAAATGGAAATCAAAACCGCAATGAGATACTGTCTCACAGAAGTCAAAATGACTATTCCTAAAAAGTCAAAAAATAACAGACACTGGTGAGGTTGTGGAGAAATAGGAAGGATTTTACACTGTTCATGGGAGTGTAAATTAGTTCAAGCATTGTGGAAGACAGTGTGGCAATTCCTCCAAGATCTAACAACAGAAATATCATTTGACCCAGCAATCCCATTACTGGGCATATACCCAAAGGAATATAAATCATTCCATTATAAAGACACATGCTCATGTATGTTCACTGCAGCACTATTCACAATAGCAAAGGCATGGAATTAACCTAAATGCCCATCAATGGTAGACTGGATAAGGAAAAATTGGCACATAGACACCATGGAATACTATCTAGCCATGAAAGAGAACAAGATCATGTCCTTTGCAGCAACATGGATGGAGCTGGAAGACATTACCCTTAGCAAACTAATGCAGGAACAAAAAGTCAACTACCACATGTTGTTACTTACAAGTGAGAATTAAGTGGTGAGAATACCACTTAGAATTAATAATAATATATGTGAGTTTAATACTGCCATTTAATGTTAGCTGGCTGTTTTGCCCATTAGTTGATGTAAATTCTTCATTATGTTGATGCTCTTTACTTTTTGGTATTTTTTAGAAAGCTGATACTGGTTGTTCCTTTCTATGTGTAGTGGTTCTTTCAGAAGCTCTTGTAAAGCAGGCCTGGTGGTGATAAAAGTTAATAAAATATTAACTTTTATACCACTTTTATGTATAAATTGTTAAGTCTTCTTTTCTAATATGGTGTATCTGCATTTTCCATTTTGGTGGGTTAGTGCTGCCAGAGACTGTTCCCAGTGCTTCTTGGACTTTTCTAGTGCCTGTCATAAATTCAGTGAATTCAGGTGCCATTAGGACACCAGGCTGCCAAGGAAATATAATTCTCTCTTTGAGTACAATATCCTTGAATTAATAGAAAAATTAGACCCTGGTACTGAATCTTTGAATGTGAATTGACCCTCAGAGTCTTCCTTAATTGATATAAATAAATGTTAATAAGTTGATAGCCAACAGTTAATTTAAGTTTTTGACACATAAAATAAGACTAAGCTGGAGAACAATATCTTTCTTCTCTATTTTCTTAAAGCAAAATAAAAAGCTGATTTGTCTCCTGAGCATAAATTGTTATATCCACTGAGTTGTTTTTGTAGCATCAGAGTTATATGAGAACTTGGATAATTAGCCAAGGATAACTATCTACCTTTTATAAATAATGGAAAACCAAGATTTCATATAGTTACTCTAAAAATATTGTAATCTTTTGAAGCAATAACATAGCATTTATATATTAGTGGTTATAAAATCAGTATGCAACACTCAAGGACCACACTATCTTTACCTTTAAAATCTATTTTTGAAGAAAAATGCAGTAAATATTATATTAACAGGAATTGATATCACAGAGGCAAATGTTTCCAAAAGTGAATCAAGAATTGCTTTCAGTTAAGAGAATCTGCAACCGCAGATGCTAGAAATACATTTCATCCTTACAAAGTCCAATAGTAATTATTTTTTCACATTCTAATAGAGTTTACGAGATTGCTGCCATTTCAGAATGGGTTTCAAGTTCTACTTCTTCAGGGGACAAAGTAATGACTACTTTTATTTTAAATCAGTAAATAATAATGCTGTATAATTGGAAAGGCAATTAAGAGGGATAATATGTCAAAAATCACTACGAACTCAAACTGTTACCACGTAATGTAAAATGCTTGTATTATTTAAGAAAAGAAAGATCACTGGATGAACAACTGCCATGAATCAACATTTGAATAAATAGTTTTAAAGGATGCCTAGCATCTCCTTAGCATCCTGCAGTGTGATATATCAGCTGCTCCTAAAAAAAACTGGTAACGTCCAAGGCCTTAATATCTAATAATTTAATATTTTAAAACATTCTTTGTTAAAGAAAAAAGAGCATGTCATATTTTTCAAATTAATGCTTTACAAGTTACTGTATTTAGGCCTAGCTATTTTCTCAAGATATGTCATATGCTTTGACTTAATTTTGAAACATGGCTTGTAAAAACTGGTCATTTTACTTACTCCACGCATGCAGAAGCATTTTCAAAAGATTACAATTTTTAAATTAATATTCTTAACTTTATGATGTGAATAATAGTTTCTTACAGACACAAGAAATACAAATTTCAAGTGTTTAAAATACCATGTCTGGATAAATCAAAGTAATTTGGTGATGACAAATCACTCATCTGAAATACCAAAAATAATTTGTGTTTAATTGATTATTTTACCTTTAATCCAGATATTTGCAATATAGATATAATAAAGTCTTAATTTTATTCTATGTTGTGAATTAAAAGAGGGGTTTCCCCATAAGTGACAAATTGTTTGTATTGTGAACTACCAAACATGCTTTCCAGAAATTTAAGATGTCCAGGAACATTTTGTTCTGGTTTGCAGAGTGACTCAAGAGACTAGAGAACAATGAAAGGGCAAAGAGGACGGCATAAAAAAAGAGGGAGATCTATTGAAAGGAGTCATAGAGCTATCAAAAATATTGTTTTTGTTGTTGTTGCTATTCATTTTTTACATTGCACATCTTCTTTCTCCCACTTTCAAGGGATCATTCAAGTTTTTGTTATTATGTTAGTAAATTAGAAGAAAAACATTACTAAACTCAGATTGCTTGGTAACATTAATTTAGTGATCAAATAATCATAAACTCACTTATGCTATTCCAGACAGAAATTCTTTTCATATTCCTGTGTATGAAGAAATTTTTTTCCTTGAACGAGACCCTAGAGTGATCTCTATATGGAGATTCCTCTAAGGCATATGGGTTTCCTACGTAATACATTGTAAAGTGGCTTTTTGGAGAAACAGTTGTTTTAACATTCTGTTTCACACATATGAGCAACCGTATGCCTGAACTTATCGGATAGGCAGTATCACTAGCATTGTTTTTAATTTCTGTGAGTTGGCCATATTAGGTAAAATTATTTTTGAGATTTTTCAGATTCAAATCATAAGTATGTGATTAAAACACTTATTTGACCAAGATATCCATAGAATATATCAGCATATGACACAACATATTTTAAAAAATAGGTAACGGGCAAGGCAATTTACCAAATATTTCAACTCTGAAGGCTAGCATTTAATATGCAGTCCCTGTAGAATATAATTTTAAAAGAACATTGATTGTCCTCAGGTATACACTACTTATGAACCTCTGTATGACATTTCTATTTTTCTTTTCACATTTTTTTTCACTCAACAATGTATTTCTTTGTTGTCACTTTAAAATGTTTCCATTGAAAACTCTTCTCTTAAGCTGTCTGGATGCAACAGTTTCGGCACCCATTGAGTGGAAAGTTTGCTCAACTCTAATTTTTCAGTCAGAATTGTGTAAGCTGAACCAATTGAGATGTCTCTTGTTTTGGCTATTGGTTCTCTTGTTTATCCTTCATTCTATTCAATGACGGCATAAATGAGATAATTTTTTTTCTTGAAAATTTATGTGAATGCTTTGCTGCTGTATGCTTCAACGTGGTCTCATCCCTTGACTATAAATTAGTCCAACCACGTTGGAAAGCAGTCTGGATATTTCTCAAAGAACTTAAAACAGAGCTACCATTTAATCCAGCAACCCCATTACTGGGTATATACCCAAAGGAAAATAAATCATTCTACCAAAAAGACACATGCACCTGTATATTCATCAGTATGCTATTTACAACAGCAAAGACATGGAATCAACCCAGACGCCCACCAATGGTAGACTGGATAAATTGAATGTGACACATATACATTATGGAATACTATATAGCCATCAAAAAGAATGAAATCATGTCCTTTGCAGCAATATGGTTGCAGCTGGAGGCCATAATTCTAAGGGAATTAACACAGGACCAGAAAACCAAATACCACATGTCACTTACAACTGAGAGCTAAACACTGAGCACCTGTGGACATAAACATGGGAAAGATAGACACTGTGTACTACTAGAGGGGGGAGGGAGGGAGGGAAACTGGAATAGGTTTAAAAACTACCTATTGGGTACAAGGCTCACTACTTGGGTGATGGGATCCACATCCCAAATCTCAGCATCATGAAATATTCCCATATAATAAACCTGCGCATGTACTCTGTGCATCTAAAATTTGAAATCAGTAAAAAATATAAAAGAAATTGGTTGAAATGAAAAAAGAATGAGTTATCCATTTGTATATTGCTGATATCTTGGGGGCATTGTCCCCATAAACTTTGTATAAAGCATCAATGATTCCATCATTCTTACACCCAAGTTTCACCATAAATTTGATCTTTGTTTTTGCTTCAGTTTTAGCATAATTCATGTTGCTGTGGTAAAGGCTGTTTTCAAACTAATGTCTTATCTTTCTTAGTGCCTTAAACTAGATCCTATTCAGACATGTTCTAAGAAGTTAGTAGAAGCTTATTTTTGTGCAAACAAATTTTGAAATCCATGGATAGTTTTTTCATAATGTGCATTTTCATGAACTTGTTGAGACCCCTCATATAATCTACATAAAATATCCTCTAATTCAGATTCTAGTTAAACTGGATCATGATCCATGCTAGAGATTTTAGTTGCTTAGTCTTAATTTTCCTGCTTTAACAAGAAAAAACCTGCTGTGTTAAAGAAATTAGTTTTGTTTTGTCAGGCATATTCTGAAAACTGTTAAAAATGAATTTAAAAATTAGCTTTTTATACATGTTTACCACTTAAATTTAGGTTGTATTAATGCAAATAAAATAATATATTTGAAATCAATTTCAAGTTTTGGGATAATATGCCCCTCATATATCTGTAGTAAGGGTGATTTTTATCTAAAAGAC